GAGGCCAAGCTGCACCTGCGCCGGGCCAACCCGTCGCTGTTCCCCAGCCTGCAGGCCCGGGGCATCCGCCGCGTGCAGATCCTGAGCCTCCGCCGCAGCCTCAGCTACGTGATCCAGGGCATGGCCAACATCGAGAGCCTCAACCTCAGCGGCTGCTACAACCTCACCGACAACGGGCTGGGTCACGCATTCGTGCAGGAGATCGGCTCCCTGCGCGCCCTCAACCTGAGCCTGTGCAAGCAGATCACCGACAGCAGCCTGGGCCGCATCGCCCAGTACCTCAAGGGCCTGGAGGTGCTGGAGCTGGGGGGCTGCAGCAACATCACCAACACCGGCCTTCTGCTCATTGCCTGGGGACTGCAGCGCCTCAAGAGCCTTAACCTGCGCAGCTGCCGCCACCTCTCGGATGTGGGCATCGGGCACTTGGCTGGCATGACGCGCAGCGCGGCCGAGGGCTGCCTGGGCCTGGAGCAGCTCACGCTGCAGGACTGCCAGAAGCTCACGGATCTGTCCCTAAAGCACATCTCCCGAGGGCTGACGGGCCTGAGGCTCCTCAACCTCAGCTTCTGCGGGGGCATCTCGGACGCGGGCCTCTTGCACCTGTCGCACATGGGCAGCCTCCGCAGCCTTAACCTGCGCTCCTGCGACAACATCAGTGACACAGGAATCATGCATCTGGCCATGGGCAGTCTGCGCCTCTCGGGGCTGGACGTGTCCTTCTGCGACAAGGTGGGGGACCAAAGTCTGGCGTATATAGCCCAGGGGCTGGACGGCCTCAAGTCCCTGTCCCTCTGCTCCTGCCACATCAGCGATGATGGCATCAACCGCATGGTGCGGCAGATGCACGGGCTGCGCACGCTCAACATTGGACAGTGTGTGCGCATCACGGACAAGGGCCTGGAGCTGATCGCTGAGCACCTGAGCCAGCTCACGGGCATAGACCTGTACGGCTGCACCCGCATCACCAAGCGCGGCCTGGAGCGCATCACGCAGCTGCCCTGCCTCAAGGTACTCAACCTGGGCCTCTGGCAGATGACGGACAGTGAGAAGGTCAGGTGAGGGCGGCGGCACTGGCTCCCCGCGTCCCGCCCTGCTCATCCCCCCTTCACCGCCACCCCCACACACTCACGCACACTTAGGCCAGCCCGTTGCTGCGGAGGAGATGGGGCAGTCTCCTCCCTCCTCTAGCGCCCCTCCCCGCCCGCAGCCCTCATTGGATCTGGGTTCCTGTGCTCTCCGCCCTCCCGGCGTGGCCCTGCGGACGGAGTGATGGACGCCGTGCTCACCCCCCACTCCTCTGCAGGGGGCGGGGGTGGAGGACTGACTCAGCTACTGTATCCCCACTGCGCTGCACTTGGAGGGGGTGGGGAGGGACGGTCCTTTCCACCCTGGGGAGTTGAGGAAAATGTCTGCCTTCACTTACGCTTTCATTTGAATACTGTGATCTGGCTTTTATTTTGAAATGCATAAAAAGCAAACCCAACTACAACGGCCTTTTCACCCTTCTTCCACTTTAACTAGTCCCGGCTTCTCATCGCTCACCTCTGGCAGTACTCTGCTGTTCATCTCGTCGTTCCTAGCTTTTTAAACATTTTTTTGGAAGACATTTAAAATCCTGGTCCTTTTTTTCTGCTGAGTATATACTATATATATTATATATATAAGTTATATATATATTATATATATATACATGTGTCTGGCTACCTCGTTTTAGTTTCCTTTTTTCTCTGAAGTCCTGGAATTCTACAAGAGAGAGATATTTTGGAACTGAACATTTTTGTGCCTAGACTGGAAAGATGCCCATTGGGTTGAACATCTTTTTTGTTTTGGCTTCTTCCCAACCTCCCTCCATCCAGTGTGTTCCACTTCCACATTTGGGCTGTGGGATTTTTTTTTTTGTTTTTCTGCTTTCTCCTGATCCATTGGGATTTGAGAACCCAGTGGTGTTTCTAAGTCTTGACTTAATTTATAGCACAAATGTGTGGAGGAGCTGGGAGCTGGGCTGTCTGGTCTGGCCAAGGTGCGGACTGTGTCTTGAGAACGATTATATATATGCAAATTCTGCCCTGCCCTCACCTCCCGTCCCCAGGCAGGTCCCACGGCAGGCTTCCTGCTGGAAGGAGAGCAGACCAGGCCGAGAGCCCAGGTGCTGCACCGCGGAGGGGAGGAGACGGAAACTGTCTTAGCTCTGTTCTCTTAATAAGATGGGAGTTCGTGGGTTTTAAGAAATTCTGTTTCGGAGTGGAGGAATAGATAACTTTCTTTATTTTGGTGAGGGTTGGGACTTGCGGCTTTAAAAAAATCTCTTTTGAGTAGGATGTATATTTTCGTTGGCTTTTTTGTTTATTTTTTTAGAATCCTCCACAGCAACACGCGAGACCATGGAGTTAAACCCAGAGACCTTTATGAATTAATTGTACTGTTTGTGAATTTGTATAAATATAACAAAGATCCTCTTAAAACGTTTATATTCTTACAGTAAAAGGTTAAACTGATATTTATATAATAAAAGAGGAAATATGAAGTATGTTTTTGAAAAAAAAAATCACAAAAAAAAAACGACACAAAAAGTCTTGTATCTGTGAATTATTTTGAAGGCATGGTGCATTGGGTGCGTGCCAGGAGGAGAGGTGCTGTTTGTGTACACGAGTCACAGGAATTGCAGGCTCAAGGCAGGCGCACCTCGTGTGGTGTGCAAAGGTTCATGGCTAAACATGTACTCTACGGACGTCCAAAGGTGTTGCTTCTAGAGGTGTGATCAGACACTATCATATCTGGTTTTGAGCTGTCAGCCGCCTGGAAATGTGAAGAAATCGAGCAAAATGAAACTTGTTAAACAACCAGATCCGTGAGAGTCACGGGTTCCCTGTCTAGTTTTTTCTTTGGCAAAGTGGGTGCTGAGTGCGCACACAGGAAGAAAGATGGGTTCCTCACCCTGGGAGTGGGCGTGGGGGAGGCTGAGGTGGAGGGACTGAGGCCATTGTTCAGAAAAGTTAAAGGAGCTGCCCTGCCTGCCTGCCGGCTCACTCATGCGTGCTGAATCTCAGTGTGAGCAGGGTCCCAGCGGAAGGGAGGGGGGCCACGCAGCCCCTCTAGTTAGCATTCCCCTCCAGGCCTGGCTGTAGTGAAGCCTTCCCTGGGGGATGGGGAGGCTGGCCAGGAGTTCTTGCACATTTGCATTTTAAGCACTTCCAGCATGGAGGCTGGCCACTCCTCCGCTCTGTGGAGGGTTCTGAAACCGAACTCGAGACAGATAACTGAGCACTAGCAGTCAGCGTGAGTTCCCTTGGGCGGTGGTAACTAGTCGGACACCCCGTGGTTGGGCTGTGCTGCTTGTGAGTGCGAATGCTCCAACAGTGGCGTGAGTCACACTCTGGTTTCACAGGGGTCTCTCTGTTTTTAAACAAAAAAAATCCTGATCCTGGAGTATAAAACTTCCCTGGGTCATCAACCCTTCTTTCCAGGAAGAGGGCTAGAACCCAGGTTTCTCTTGGGGTAAGATTGTTTTGTAAAAATTCCAAGCTTTCTCCTGGAGCATATCACAAAAGCCGCATTGTTCCTCTGAGAGCTGTCACCGTTGGGCCTAATTGAGCCTGACACTAGATCCATCTTCCTTTTCTTTGGGGAAGGTGTGGAGCTCTCTTCTCGCTTAGGTTACAGTGCTTATTGCCTGGAAGAAAATGTGAGAGCCCCAGTAAGAAGTGGGGACGGAGTTAGGGCCAGCGTTCTAAGTTAGCATTTGGCACAGCTCAGGAAGGCTGCACGAGCCCTGGGCTCTTCGCCTGTCTTCCAAGAGACGGGGGCCGAACAGATTCAAAGGCTCCGAGCACGGCCTAAGTCTCAGGCAGTCTCCGCTCTAGTACCCCAGCCAAGCCGGACCTGGAGTGTTCTCAGCTTCTCTGTCGTGTTTGCTTTTTATGTTAAACGTTAAATGCACACTTGACTAGAGGTGGGTGAATCAGTGTCTGGAAGGGAACTGGATCCTGGGTCCAGTGTTGTGGCTCTGAAGCAGGCTTGCATGATACGGCTGGAGCTTCCCTGGGGAAGAAGGAAGCACTGCTGTCAGCAGAGGCCAGTGCTTCTCTCAACCTTTGTGGATGGGAAGGAATGTTGAGACTGTATGTGTTTTGCATGATACTGGTATTTTTGTGATTTAAAGGTTTTGCCATAGGGTGTGTGTGCTCTGGCGAGAGACATTAAGAGGGGAGGGAACGTGAGAAATCACCCCCTGGGGGGACAGCTATAATCCCTTCTCCATTCTCCTGGGATTTGGGGCATGCGAACACACACACTCTGCATGATTTTCTTTCTTTTTTAAAAATTATGTTATCATTTAATTTAAATTTGACCTGCGAGGGACAGAGTGAAAGAGAAGGGGGGAAAGTGAGAAAGCAAGCTGCCAGGTCTGGGACTCAAAACTGCAGCCAGCCATATGGAAGTCCTGCACCTTAACCACCATGCCATCTGCTGGCCCAGTACTGGTAAATTTTAATCCCCAAAGAGACCTACTGAAATAGATAACTTCGTTTGCAGGCAAGACAGAATATCTGCTTTGTTACTCAGTAACTGAGGAAGCTAGGATTCAACCCAGGTCCACTTGTAAAGTCAGGCCCCTTTTGCTCTGAGAAGAGGCCTGGCCCCTGGTCACATGTTGCTGTGTGATCACATGACCCTCACACAGTGGACATGTACAAGGAATAAGCCCATGCATGGCACCACTGCAAAGGGATCTGGTGGGCTCTTGGAGCTGGGAAGGGCTGATCCCTGCCATACTCACAGGAACGGAAGACATGCTTTTAAAGAACAGAAGCACTTGGGCCAACAGGTGGCATGGTGGTTAGGGGAGCTGGATTCCTACATGGCCAGCCGTGCGTGGATTGAGTCCCGGACCTGGCGGCCTGCTTTCTTGCTTTCCCTCTCTCTGTCTCTCTCCGGTCAAATTAAAAAATAATAACAAATGGAATTAATTAAATAAATAATTCTTAAAGAACAAAAGCACTAAATTTAATACACATTTCGTGGGTGGTTCAGGGCAGTTTTTAGAATAACAAAAACAATCCTGGTTCAGGTATTTGTTGAAATGTAAGAACTGAAAAAAACAATGTAAACTTGGGCCCACCCTGCCGTCAGGAGTACTGACTCTTAGTGGAGACTGAGGAGCAGCGAGGACAGCTTCGTGACCACCTCCTAAGTGGCCTTCAGGCGGCAGCCCTTAGTGAGCTGCAGAGCGGGCCTGTGGGTGCAGCTGCAGGCCAGCCACTCCCGCAGCCCTGCCACGTGGGGCCCCTAGCCAGAGAGCTGCGTGCTGGGCGCCTTCCCTGCCCTGGACTTCTGCCCGGTGGGGTCCACCTGGTTTATTCCACATTTGGTGACAGTGACAGGGACTCCTGCCTAACTTGCATAAACTAAAACTGAAAGCCAATATCAGCATCCTTATGAAAAACATAAGCCGATGATATTCGTTAATAATTCAAATCCACAGAAATTTGATAAAACACATGCTCCTTTTATTGGGGTTTCTTTTTAAAGGTAAGAACTTCCCATTAAGTAAGAACATAGGATGCGGAAGTTGAGGCGCGTGGCCTTCCCCCAGATCCTGGTGTTCGCCTGCAGCAGCTCCTAGGTAGAGGCTGGTTCTGAAATATAGGTCAAATCTTTCACTTTTGACTTAGAGAATCTGAATTTAGGTTTTCTTTCTTTTTTTAAAGAATTATTTTATTTATTCATTTATTTTTTAATTTGACCAGAGGGAGACAGAGAGAGAGAGAAAGAGAAAGAGAAAGCAAGCCACTAGGTCCAGGACTTGAACTGTGATCAGCCATGTGGGAGTGTCCAGCACCTTAACCACCACACCACCTGCTAGTTCCCCCCTGAATTCAGGTTTTCAAAGGGGAAAGGGTAGTGGCCCCAGGGACCACTGATTTTCCAAAGAATAAAAACCTCTTGATGAAAAGGTTAGATTTGTAAGACAAAACCAGGACTTCATGGGGCCCCTTCCCATCCTGTGAAAGGGAAAGGCGGGCCTCTGATGGGCCTCTGGTGGTTCCCCTTCCCGCTGCAGAAGGGGACAGACAGGGCAAGTCATCCAGGCTCCTGCTTTCCTCTTTCTCTTCCCTTCACATATGGCCCCTTTTAAAAGTTCACTCTGGGGACTAGCAGGCCGTATAATGGCTATGTCACTGGGCTCCCACGTAGTAGACCGCAGTCGAGTCCCGGACCCAGCAGCTTAAACTCACATAAGATCCCAAGAGGAGAATGGAGGAGATGGAGAAGAGATTATGGCCTGGCCATCCCCCCTCGGGGGTGGTTTCTCACTTTCTGTCTCTCCCTCCCTCCAGGAAAAATCACACACACACACACACACACACACACACACACACACACAGTTCACTCTGTCCTTTAGTGGAGGGCAGGACCTAAATCTTGTGCCATTATGACTCTGAGGAGGTGTAGGCACGAGGCTTTTTGACGGAATAACTTGACTCACAGTAAGGGCAGGACTAGCAACGAGGGAGCTGCATTCAGACCTAAGCATGTGCAGGGGCCACGCATTTACCTTGTCAGTGTGCTTGTCCCAACATTAGGTAGTGAGTTAATTTGTTACAGGCTATGTCCATTCACCAGAGAGACCAAGTGAGAAGTCACCCCCCAGGGGGATGGCCACACTGCAGTCCCTTCGCTATTCTCAGGATTTTAGACACACACACACACACACACACACAAGCTGCCAGGTCTGGGACTTGAACCGCACAGCCATGTGGGATCCAGTCACTCTAACCACTGTGCCACCAGGCTGGCCCGCAAGTTAAATTTTTAAAAAGAATGTTGCCAAACAGATAAGACACTCCTATTTTGATTAGCACCAACCAGAACTGATTAAAGTGAGAGCCAAGCTGGGGTATAAACGTAGGCTCCCAGCCGTTGGACAGAAACGGATTTCTAGACACCTGGCAAGTGGAAAAGCCCACGAGCGATCAGTTTCAGGCTCCTCTCTTCCAGGGATGGCTCTGATTTCTCCTGGAGGAGTTGCCATACCCCGCCCAGCCACGTCCTGCAGCTGAGGTGTCAGAGAACGCGAGCTCGAGACACACACAGCTGGGGCGGGGTATATTAAACAGCCCACCCAGTACAACAGTGAAAGTGGAATTCTTCTG